CCTCCCTTTCTTGAAGATAGGCACCACATTGGCCTCCTTCAAGTCTTCGGGCACTTCACCAGAGCGCCAGGAGTTTTATATTATATTTAGCATTGGCAGGATCTGATTTAAAAAAAAAATTAGATATTGATAAATGTTGATTTCACCTCACACTTGCAGACCAATGAAAATATTTCCATTGTTAATAATTAAAATGTATAGAAAGGGGCATAAGAAAAATGATGGCAGATGGAGTATGTGACAACAGGGGGAGCAGTTGTACACAACTGTGCTGACTAGTTTGGACTGCAATTACCAGAAACTCCAGGGGACTGGGAACAAAGGAAAAGGAAGTGACAAAGTGGATGCGGGAGCTATGGATGAGTGGAACTGGGACTGATAGCAGCTCTGCCACTCAGCTGGTGGCAGTCTTATGGCCATTATGTTTGTTGCAGTGGGCAGTTAAACTGCAATATAATAATAGTGTACTATCATTTATAAATTGTTTGTTCTCTGTGCACCTAATTTTGTGCAAGCCTGAGAATTTTAAGTTGATAAAAATCAAAATAAATGCTTAAAAATAAACATTGTTTTCTGTCAAAATTATAAAAGAATCGAATTCTGCCAAGCCTAATTATATTTCTGTAGTAAAAAAATAGTGAAAACTAAGAGCTAGCATTTTCAGAGGTGTGCCTCAAGTCCAAAAAATTGAGAGCCACTGCATTAGGGTTTTCAACTTCACTTAAATCAGGTTCCAAATGCTGTAATATCTGGTATCCATCCTTGATAATACAGCATTCACAAATTGTACTAGAATTGACAGGCTATGGCCCTCTCCATACAGTGGTTTTTAACCATGTTAGGTTTAGCTGTTTTGCATAATTGTAGCTAACACTGTTTGGTATGTCTGCATGCCATATGATTTTGGCACAACTGTTTGTCACATTGGCATATTCTCATTTATCATGTTCCAAAACACAGTGTTACCGAACATCGTAAGAATTTTGGGCAGCTGTCTCGTACATTGTTAGCAGTTGATGTTGGGAAGGTAATTTGCTGTTTTCCAAAAATCCCTTCTTTTTATCCCATGGTACTTTGGAAAACAGTGTGTAGTCCAAGAATTCCTCAGCTTTATGCTTCATGGTATTGTGTACAGTCCCAACACAGAGGCTGCAGGGGGAGGTGAAAGCAGTAGTTGTAGTTAAATACAGTTAGAATTAAAATTCCTGATAGGTCTTGGGCACGCTTATGATACCAGTATTTAATAATAATGTCTAGGACAGAGATTCATGGCAATCCAAATTCCATTAGTGTCAAATTCCAATTAAATTATTTAATGATTACATTTCATTTTATAATCTCATACAGTTTCAAACCATGATGAATTTGTCTAGAGACCATGTTATATAATTTTCACCAAAGGGCTACTTGAAAAAAGTAACACTCCTCCCCCCCCCCCCCCAAA